TGGAGTTCGGGATAAATAAAAAATTTACCGAAGTGCAAATTAACACTGTATTAACACTTAGAACACTCCCGGAACACCTAAAAATTCTTAATTCACTTCTTCCGCTTCGCTTCAGGTGATCCGTTCGCTGTTTACTGCTTCGTGCCATCTATGCAACGCTTTTATAGTCGATACGACATCCCTAGAATTATCGAGAGCATTCCTCACAAATCAAGTATTTTCGACGTGTGTTTGCGCTATCTGACAATAGATGGCGTTGTACTTCTCGAGCGTTCTAGATGTTACTAGATCCTTTGTTATTCGTTTCGGCTATTCGGCGATAGTTGGCGCTACTCTAATCAGCGTAACAGTATTAGCAAATTCTCGCAGGTTGAGTCCGTGAGCATCTACTCGTCCGCGCGTACTTGGAATAGCCCCTTAGGCTATGAACGAATAGGTCGGGGAAAAAACTACATTTTCTCATTAGCTGTCGTATGAGACACTTTAAGCAGTTTGAAGCAACAAACTTTAAAATTATATTTGAAGATAATTTACCCAAAGGTAAATACTGTAATAACGGATCCTTATTAAATTTGAATTTTGACAACTGTTTTCGACATTTGACAGTCCACAGATTAAGATAAATGACAAATGGCAGACTGGATAATTTAAAAACCTGTCGGTATTAAAATATTAATCGATAAAATGAAGGGTAATAAAGTTAATATTTAAAAAAACACATAATTAAAGTATATCTATACAAGGATTATAATAATGAAATACCAAACAATACAACCAGCGGATATTGCTTTAAAGCCCGTATTTTTTTTTTGCTTGATTGAACAACTGGCAGATCGCATACCCAGAATTTGTTGTTATTTTCATCAAGAAGAAGTCAGAAAAGTAAGCGGTTATATTTTAAGGCCAACCACCCACCGCGGCACCGGTCCCTTGTTACTCTCACTCATATTGAAGTCTCACTTGAAGGGCACATCATAACGATCATCGAACATAGTGGAAAACAATTCATGACAGGTAAAGATAGTGCATGGAAAAGATTAGTTTAAATTTCCAGACCCAACATCAAAACGAATAAAAGAGAAACTCAATGTAAATAAATTAGAAAAAAATAAAATCGATTCCAACAATCGTTTCAACTTCAAATCGATATCGCACTGTTACCGGTACGCCCCGATCTAAATAAAGACATAGTATCTTAAAACATGACTCATCATTTGAGTGTTTCAATGAGGGATTTATTGTGGACGTTCGCTGTGCGAAACCATCGCCATCGGCCGACGTTGGCTTCGTATTAACGAGAATTGATATTTCGTTTTGATTTTCCTGTTCTCATATTTTGCATTTTGATTTGAACCCTGAAAACTCTATACGTTATTTTGTGATGTTTTTATTTAAACTAGAGGTCCCGCAGTAGTCGAAATTCGACTATAATTAATTGCAATTGTAAGTTTGTACACTATTAAGGTTGTATTTTATACTTCTATAATCACATATTTTGCCAAAACTACACTATAAAAAATATTAACAAAGACAACAATATTTAATCTATTCTCAATTTGACAACAGACGTCAAGAACATAAGTTTGACAATAAATAGTATGCATGCGTGTGTGCGTCAAATACATGAAGTGTAGTGTGTGTAATGTTTTCTTTATTGATTTAATGTATCTTTTACGCATTATTTTAAAAAAATATTAGCATTGTGCACTTCTTCTCTATATTCTTTATAAGTGTGGAAAATTTCATACTCCTCCGTCCGCGCAATTTTCGTAAAAAGGGATACAAAGTTTTTGCTTCACGTATTAATATATAGATAACATGGTGACGTCTCGGTGGAGCGGAGAATATCCGTACAAAAACTCAGCTTGCATGCTAAAATACAATTATGAAATTTACTTTATCTCAAAGCACACGCGACTCGTACGTATAATGATAACAACTTTAGCTTTATAACCCAGTGCTATAATCAGTAAGTAATGAACATATTATAGCAATAAGTAAATAGCCCACTGAGTTTCTCGTGCGAACCTTCTCAGTGGGTCGCGTTTCCGATCCGGTGGTAGATTCTGCGAAGCACTGCACTTGCTAGGGCTAGTGTTAGCAAATTCTCTCAAGTCGAGCCCGTGAACTATAGAATAGCCCATAGCCCCCCATTTTAGAAGTGAAATATGTTATCCTCGTCTGAGTCTACGAATCTAAATTAGAACGCGTTCATTCATTACCATCAACAAATCATCAATCACTCGTCATATAGCAATGATTTGTAGTTTCTAGCTGATATGCATAACTCAAGAAACACAGACGGTTGTCCCATAAGTTAGGTAGACAAAAAAACATTTCATGATAATGATTGATGATTATTTGCCGTTTGAAGGCACAGGAGACAGGACTAGGCACGACCTATCTGATGGTAAATTGTCACCGTCGCTCATGGTCATCAGCTATGCCAAGGGCGCAGTCTAGCTGCTGCCTACTGCTAATAAAAAAACTAGCGGAGTTAAACCCTGGCCTGTCTAAATTGTGCAATTACATACTTCTTGGATTTACTCAGATTTTGTCATGGTGTTGGAGTGAGTTTTAATACCTTATCATTTGAGTATGATGTGCAGACTCCCATGAAAATATATAACACTTAAATGGAATTAAAACAAAATCAACATCCACACGCGTACACATAGTATTGTTCAGCTTGACACAAATTTTGTAACAAAGAGTAATATGAGATTTCTAAGGAATAAATCTATACTAATAAATAAATCTACAGTGGTTTTTACGGATGTTCCGTTATAACTAGAGAACCATGCATCCGATTGACTTGAAACTTGGTATCCAAGTAGAAAATACATGAACTTAATGGATAGGCTAATATTTATATGAGTGTTGGGCTCCCTAATAATAATGACAATAAATAACAATGCTAATTTTAAATGCCCAGCGAAACGGGCGAGTACGGCTAGTTTGTAAATAGAGCTTAAAATAATATACCTATGTAAGTATGTATATGACATATACTCGGTCAAGTTCGTTTATCTCAAGGCCTTTAAACAAAACAATGATAACGTTGTACCAACAAGACGGCATGACGTAGACACGTTCTAAACACGGGCACCGACTGAAATTGATCCCTATGAAGTTTTTTTTTAACTTTTATAAATGAGACTTGAATGCCATGAAGATATTGTTACCTATTTTTATTTTGGGGCTTTTTGGAACCAAGTTCCTTATGGGACGATGCGGAGGGGTACCCTAACAGGGAAAAAACGTCAGTAACGTAATATTTTTACTAGTAATGCACACAATGTACGACTTAACTTTGTAATAACGTACAAAAAATAACATATTTTTTTTATTATATATTTTTTATAAATCATTGTGAATATAATAAAGTTGATAGCTTTGTAAAGTGCTTTTTTGGTTATTTTTATCAATAAAAAAATCATAGTAAAAATGTATACGCGAATAATTATTTTCTTTATACCTCGAATAGAACTTAAAATTAATATTTTTATAATAACGAATTTCGTTCTTATCCGGTGTCCCACGACACCGAACATCTTTTTTAATTTAAATAACTCGGCAACACAAGACACGAGAGATGCAAATTTTTAAAACTGTGATTTCATTTAAAAATACACGAAGAAATATACCGTTCGTTTGCTATTGGACTGCTACCACAATAACTAATATATATAATATATAATATTATAAAGAGGAAAGATTTGTTTGTTTGTTTGTTTCGAATAGGCTCCGAAACTACTGGACTGATTTGAAAAATTATTTTTCCATTAGAAGCCGACATTGTCCCTGATGAACATAGGCTACTTTTTTTAATTTTTTTTTTGTGGTCATATGTGTTTTAATGTTTCCGAAGCGAAGCGAGGGCGGGTCGCTAGTAACTAATACAATACCAGAAACTATTTAGCTTTTTTTTTTTATTGCTTAGATGGGTGGACGAACTCACAGCCCACCTGATATTAAGTGGTTACTGGAGCCCATAGACATCTACGACGTAAATACGCCACCCACCGTGAGATATAAATTCTAAGGTCTCAGTATAGTTACAACGGCTGCCCCACCCTTCAAACCGAAACGCATTACTGCTTCACGGCAGAAATTGGCGGGGCGGTGGTGCCTACCCGTGCGGACTCACAAGAGGTCCTACCACCAGTAAAAAGCTGGGTCATTGACTTGACCATTTTTAGCAACAAAGCAAAATCTATATCAGAAGATTACAAAGCAATTGACGAAGAACAACGACAACCGATTCCGAAAAAAATATCAATTCAATTATCAGAAATAGCAAAGAATCTTTAGCATTTCCTGAATGTGTTGCAATGTAAAACAACGTAGTATGTAATGCGCTTGTGTGTCGCTTTATACGCAGCATTGAACGTGTTTGTTATATATCTATATATTAATACGTGAAGCAAAAACTTTATATCCCTTTTTACGAAAATTGCGCGGACGGAGGAGTATGAAATTTTCCACACTTATAGAGAATATAGAGAGGAAGTGCACAATGCTAATATTTTTTTTTAAATAATGCATAAAAGATACATTAAATCAATAAAGAAAACATTACACACACTACATACCATGTATTTGACGCACACACGTGTACATACTATTTATTGTCAAACTTTTGTTTTTGACGTCTGTTGTCTAATTGAAAATAGATTAAATATGGTTTGTCTTTGTTAATATTTTTTATAGTGTAGTCTTGACGAAATTTGTGATTATAGAAGTATAAAATACAATCATAATAGTGTACAAACTTACAATTCCAATTAATTATAGTCGAATTTCGACTACTGCGGGATCTCTAGTTTGAAATAATTCCATATGTTGGTGTATTAGAAAGAATTTAATTTGGAAATATTACCGGGATAAACCGCTGCGGCAGTTGTCAGCAACTTCGCCTATTCAGGGACTAACCCTATACGGAGCACTGTTCAGAGCCATCGACCGCACGCACCATGGCGAGGTAACGCATCGCCAGGTCAAGCTCCAAGCTTCCAAGAAGCCGGCTCAATGTACCAGTCGTCCTTAACAGCCGGAGAACTAGATCAACGAAATGACCTCAAAAGATCCAGCATGAAGCCGAGGTGATTTAACTGCTCAACCTTAAGGCGAACCTCTCAAACCAATTAGTAACACTAAAGCACTTTAAGCACTTAACTTAAAAAGGAAAGTGAGAACTTACTCAAAAATAAAGTGATAACTATTACTTAAATAAGAAATTTTATCAACTCATTTCAATTTATGAATACCGGGCTACATGTGCATTGTTCAAAAGTTTCGGTTTCATAGACTGAGCTGAGCGGGAAGCGATTTTGTCATCACTACATAGTATAAAACAAAGTCGTTTTCTCTGTCCTTATATCCCTATGTATGCTTAAATCTTTAAAACTACGCAACGGATTTTGATGCGGTTTTTTTTTTCGAGTGATTGAAGAGGAAGGTTTATATGTATAATAACGTCCATTAAATAGTGGAGAAATCAATAATAAATTACAGTTTCCAAAGCGAAGCGAGGGCGGGTCGCTAGTTTAAAATAATAAAAGAATTAAAATCATCATGAGTTATCAACCCTATTCCATTACGTTAATTCTAATTAATAGAAATTATTCTACAATTATGAATTAATAATAATATACTTAATATATCATTGATATTTTAATTCAAAAAGTATTTGGACTTACTTGGATATGGAGGACGCCTAAAACACCACGTTTATTCAACGACATGCGATTATAATTATTCTTCAACTACGTAGCAATATTCTGAGGCGGATATGAGAGGAAATTAAAGTTCCGTTTGTATTTATTGGCGATAGATTCACCCTGAACGCGTAGATCGGTGTTACTATTCCGCTTATTTTTGTATGTAGAACAACCAACTTGTTATTGCAGCAAGATTCAGACTTCATCCTCTTAACTCAAAGAGGCATAATTCATGTTAAACATAGCACCAGGTATGAAGAGAGCTTGTTTAACTGTCTTTGCCAAACCAATTTAGATTCCGCGTATCGTTTGACTTAGATTCATTTTTAATTGGGTTACAAGATTCCGCTACGTTTGTATTCATCGCGAACGCTTGCCATTCAGAGAAAATATTATTTACACATTAGGCTTCCTTCGAAATCGTAAATTCAAGATTATTTTAGCCTAAAAAACGTTCCGCTGTTTTATAAACACGATCGTAACTTTCGGAAATATTGTTGAAAATATTTACGGTACTGGATTTAGCTTCAAACAACTATTCATTTTAATTCGAGATTCAGGATGGTCTGTACTAATTACATTTGCGCTTTGGGAAGACAAAATGTCGTAGTAAGGCACGTTTAACGTTAGTAAACCTCGTCAGGTTTGAGCCCCGTGAGCTCACCTACTAGTTAAGGTTACGCTGAAATAGCCTCTCAAGGCTCTCAGCTTAGGTAGGAAAAAAAAGAGTTAGTAAACAAAATCAAATTCAAATCGAAATCTTATTTATGCGTAATAAATAAATATCACAATATAAATAAATGTTTGCTTAAATAAATAAAAACATGGTTACCAAATTTCGTAACGTATGCCACAAGTGCCCATTAATTCATTACTCTTTCTCTTTTCCCGTTCAAAATATCCTTGGCGATATTTACGAGTTTAGTAGTGACAGCATTAAAATAAGCTGTATCGCCCTTAAGATTTTTAATGATTGCCTGGAGCATCTGCGATGTGAGTCACGCGACATTGAACCAAGAAATGTCGAGTAACATGAGAGTGAGATTCAAAACAACGAACTGACATTGAATCTGATCGCAAATTAACAACGGACGTTTACAAAAAATCTTTAATTTTACTATCAAGAGCGCGACTGACAAAAAAATCCTCAGTGTATAAACTTAAATAAACTTTGGCAATAACGCAAAATCGTTTGTTCTTACGCTATTTTCTGCTAAGATAAACATAACAAAATTTTGCTTTGTTGCTCGCATTGCGGATGTAATCGGGGTCAATAGTGACTGTACAAAGCAAGCTTTAAATAAAGTGCAATAAAAAGTACTTACATTGTGTTGATGTAGCGTCAGGATCACGTTGTCGAACGCTGAGGAGTTGGAAAGCGCCTCGGAGCTCCCTCGTAGGAGCTCAGCCAACAAGTCCGTGCCTGGTTTCACGCCAGCCAGTTTTGATGGTGACGAGGTTGCCCTAACGTGTGTAGGCCCACGACCCCTGCTCCCCACTGACATAGCACCAACACTTGTTTTACGACTTGGAACAGTTGCATCAGAAAAACTTCTTCTACCCACTTCCACTGAGCGACTCGGTGGAGCTTCTAAATTTTTACCAAAAGGTCCACGACAAAACTGCTGTCGTTTGGCTTCAACGTCAGAAGTATCCGAAGGTGAAGCAGTTCGGTCACGAGAACAAGTGTCACTATCATTCACGAGAACAAGTGTCACTGTAGACGGAGAATCACCATATTTTCGTCTTGGTTGATATGAGTCATCGTCCCGCTCATCAGAACTTTGCTGGTAAAATCTAGCTCGTCTCGATTTAACTTCCTCTGAGCGAGGCCATATCGGAGCCATCGAATCGGACGGACTAGGTGGTCCGTTTGTGAACGAATCATCTGATTTATCACCGAGTATTGATGATGTTCTAGTTTCTGCAGATAAACGCATGTCTTGTAGTGACGCGTCACTGCTTTCGCGCTTACACCCGTTCAACGAAGGTGGATCTTCTTCTCCCCCCTCGTCGCTTGGTGTTGTTATATAAATTCCTTTCCGCCTTTTCGTCTTGTCAAGAGGCCTTCTTCTTTCTCTAGCACCTATAGGGGCTGGTGTGCAAGGATTTTGCACAGCAGCGAGCAGATTAGCAACTTGTTCACTTGTTATCGTTTCATCTTCTTTGTCTCTGTCTAGCGAACCGTCCGAAGCGCCGTCAGAACGGTGCAGTTCTTCATGAGGTAACTCCTTTGACCACTGTTTCACTATACACTCATATACCGGCACTGGTATCGAACTCGCAATATCACTCGATTCAACGTCAATTCCGTGGCTATCAACAGTCACAGGGAAATGCGAACAATCACAGTCTATATTGGCACAAGCATTTGCTGGAGGATCTGGTAAAGGGGGGAACGAAAATGGTTGATTGGGTTCCAAAGGTGAAGTTCCTTCACTGTGAGCTTGGGCACTGTCAGCTTGAGAACCATCACTTTCTTCGCGTAGTTCATGTAAGACACGCGGTGCCATCAACGCAGGCAGACTTCCACCAGCTTCTGACGGTCCTTCTTCTCTTACAGGTGGTATTCGTCTCGGCAAAGGATGGGTTAGCGACCGTGCACCTAATATTTTGTGGGGTCCATCCAAAGGTGGTGAACGACCTGCTGCAGACGCGTGGGTTAAAAGTCCTTCATCGGATCCAACTGCAGAGTCAACGGATGCCACTGAGGCTATCGATCCTTCTTCAGTTACATTTTCATCAGTTGCGTTACTAGAAGATTCTGTATCTAGTCGCGCTACGATTGGACTTGCTGCCTTTATAGTCCTTTTTCCGAAATCGAAGGCGGACGGCTGACGCTTCGACTCTCGATAATATTTTTCTTGTGCAAAGTCACCCTGTGAAAAAGACGCGCTGCGATACGGTATAGTTTTCTGAGCGTATGAACCTACAATAGATCGAGGTTCAACGCGCACCAAAGTGATGTTGTCTGCATCGAATTCGTCGCAACGATCAACGGAAGCTCCTCGCGGCGGGCTGTGTCTGTGGCGCAAACGCGGCGGCGGTACTGGTGGCAGTACTGGTGCAGTGTGCGGTGGTGGCGGAAGCGGTGGCGGCGGCGGGGGCTGGTGCGGTCGCGGCCGTAGCAGGTCGGTGAGCGCCTGGAGGCGCTGGTGGCGCGAGGGCCGCTCGTCTCGCGAGCCGCGGCCCAGGTGGCGTTGGATGCGATCCAGCGTGCGTCTGTCGGGCTTGGCCCGGCCGAGGCACGCCGCCACCGCCTCCTCGGAGCAGCAGCGGCACGGGCAGGCGCGCGGCGGCGGAACACGACGCACCGAGTACCGCACCGCTCCCAGCGTCACGTACGGAGACCTGCGCACGCGACGCTATATTAGTTTTAGTTGCAGGAACGAGTACGCGCGCGAACCGCCGAAAAGCTTGGCGGCGAGTGGGACCGATTTAGAGCGGCCGAGCTTCCCCCGCGACTCGACTGTGAATTCCGGGAGGATTCCCCGCGACCCACTCCGACACGATTCTGGACTTAAATCCGACCAATATGACTATTGTAAAAGCTTCTTTTCGTGTAGCTCAAAATGAACAGCGCTACGCTAAAAACTTTTGAATTCTGAACAATATCAGTGATGAGGTGCAAACATTGGCGCACTTCTGACTACGCGGCAGGTGCCGGAGACAGACGGAAGACGCAAACTCTAAAAATAGGTGTGTCTTCGTGATTTGGCGACATCGCGACCTCGCACTAATGTTTACAATTCTCAATCTTGATTTTTCCTGACTACGTTCCTAAAAACTTTTTATTCTCGCTACATTAAAATTAAAACTACCGTATATTCGCTATAAACGACATTTTAATTTTACTATTCAAATGAAAGAAATAAAAGGCAAAAGACAGCTTTAGAAAAACAGTTTAGGGGGTTTCAAATGTAATTCTATCTATATTCTCTTACTAGCTGACTCGGCAAACGTTGTTTTTCTATATATAAGACTAGTGACCCGCCCTCGCTTCGCTTCGGAAACATTAAAACACACATGAAACAAAAAAATAAAAATAAAAAATAAATAAAAAAAGTAGCCTATGTTCATCAGGGACAATATCGGCTTCTAATGGAAAAATAATTTTTCAAATCGGTCCAGTAGTTTTGGAGCCTATTCGAAACAAACAAACAAACAAATCTTTCCTCTTTATTATTCCTCTTTATAATCTATAATATATAAGATTTCAAGGGGAATTTCTGGTGTAGAAAAAAAAAAACGAATTTATTGTAAGTGTGTAAGGATGTGGTAAATGCGTGAAAGAGGCATGAAACCTCATTCAACCACAAAGCGCCTCGTTATAACAAAAAAAAATTGTCCATGAAATAAAAAATAAATGTTAGGGGTGGACAGCCCTTTTCATTTAGGGGTATGAAAAATAGATAGTAGCCGATTCTACTTACCGAACCTACATATAAAATTTCATAAAAATCGGTAAAACCGTTTCAGAGGAGTATGGTAACTAACATTGTGACACGAGAATTTTATATATAAGACTAGTTGACCCGGCAGACTTCGTAGTGCGTCAATCGGGAAATAAAAGACCTAAACTTTTTTATAAAATAAAAATAAAACAAACAAACGGGGGACACATGAAAGGAAAAACAAAACTGTTATTTTTATTTAATTCCGACCATTTTCATATTTATCTACCTTTTAAACCTTCTCTGGACTTCCACAAATAATTGAAGACCAAAATTAGCCAAATCGGTCCAGCCGTTCTCGAGTTTTAGCGAGACTAACGAACAGCAATTGATTTTTATATATAGATAGATTTCGGTAATTCTAATTGATTAGCTCTTGTATATGGTACCTGGTGTTTTCCCGCCTCCTGCGTGCGCCATCTTGCGGGGAACGCGAGCGCGCCTCGGACGCCATGCGGTCACGTGACCCCTAGCATACTGAATCCCCCTCACATGTCCTGCAAACAACAAATGGATCATAATAATAAGAATCAACAAACTACTACCCAGACAAAGACAAGCGAAGTAGTTATGGTAGGACCTCTTCTGACTCCGTGCGGGTCGTACCACCACCCTGCCTATTTCTGCCGTGAAACAGTATTGCGTTTCGGTTTGAAGGGTGGGGTACCCGTTGTAACTATACTGAGACCTTAGAACTTATATCTCTAGGTGGGTGGCGCATTTACGTTGTAGATGTCTATGAGCTCCAGTAACCAATCAACACCAGGTGGGCTGTGAGCTCGTCCACTAATCTAAGCAATAAAAAAAAAGCGAGAAAAATTTGAAATCAAGGGTTAATTGTCTTTTACTGATGATAGACCGTATTGTAAGCCTGGGTTGATACTGGACTCTGAATCCCCCTCTCATGACATGCAAATAACAATCGATCATAATAATAAGAATCAACAAGCTACTACCCACAAAGACAAGGGAAGCGAGAAAGTTTAGAAATCAAGGGTTAATTGTCTTTTACTGATAATAGATCTAAGACTAAGACTTGATTGGTTGGGTTACTTATTTCTAGTGCCAATCAGTTACGCGCTCATCTTTAAGAACTGATATTCAATCTCATGTCTGCTCCTGATAATGTTTACGGACTACAGTTACACAATATTGGCTACAATCATTCTGGTTAGTACAGCTACACCTTTTTTTTTAATTACACACTTCATAAATCAATAAATAACTAAACGCAAGAATAAGTTTTATAATTATTGTATTGTAATGTATTTGGGTAATAAAACAAAATTATTGTTAAATAAGCTATAGTCATACAGAAACGCCATCTATGATTGTTTTCACGAACTAATTTGTCGGGCGGTATTTTCGGCCCAAAATATCTAAAGGCGGGCGGCTCAATTTCATTGTTTTACGATAGAGGTCGCTGTATTGTGAACAACCAAATCTGGACAAAAAAAAGTCGAAGTCGTTAAAACACCTTTTTTTTTTATTGCTTAGGTGTGTAGACGAGCTCACAGCCTACCTGGTGTTAAGTGGTTACTGGAGCCCATAGACATCTACAACGTAAATGCGCCACACTCATTGAGATATAAGTTCTAAGGTCTCAGTATAGTTACAACTGCTGCCCCACCCTTCAAACCGAAACGCATTACTGCTTCACGGCAGAAACAGGAGAGGCGGTGGTACCTACCCGTGCGGACTCACAAGAGGTCCTACCACCAGTAATTCTACTGGTCCTACTACCATATTTCCATAATTCAGTTCAATTTATTGTTCGCTTTTTTCTTTATTGATTTCGTACGCAAATCGCATAAAACACATCCGATTTTGTTTGTTCGCTGTCGCCGCGGCTAACCGGAGATGATATACAAATTATACACGGGTCAACACCAAATTTGACTTTGATTGCAAAGCATAAAATTTCCGTATTTTTGATCGTAATTAGACGAAAAAAAAATACATGGCATGCAACAGCTTACTTTTGAACTTTAATAAATTGACCACATATGAAACAAAATGCAGCAGCATCGTATTTACACTTTCGTGAAATTTTAAGTTTTTCTGGGCTTGCACAAAACACCTGATCGTTGCTTATGACTCGAGTTCCATCTAGTGGCACTATGTAAACGTAAACACCCCACTCTCAAAGCACGGTTTTTTTGAAAGTATTAAAATTAATTAAAATTTATAAAAAAATTGAAAAATGAGTATTATTACTATAACTATCACAAAAGCAAACTTTATACCAAAAAAAGGTATTTTATTTTCGTTTTTGTGAATAATTGACAACGAACGAAAATTCTTTTGTAGAGTTGTGTTATTTTTATACGTCAGTATTTTGTTTGTATAAGCAACTAAAATTGCAAAACAAAAATACGCACTTAGTTAAAATACGAACGTCTAAAAAGAAACAATATCTATAATTATAAATAACATCGCAATAACTGAAAATGATTAAACAATACTAACAGCTTGGACATATTTAATAAATTTACATTATCGTTCATCCGAATTTGTGGTCGACATCAAAATAAATTCTCGTGACACGACCGGCGTCATAAAAATAAATCTTATCATTAAAGTGAGTACGCACAAAGTGAGCGAATGATAAACATCATGTTTACCGTATCCATTACTTTATAATGATTTCCTCAATCCTTGGTTAAATTTCGATGTTTTTAATTTAAAAAGAGAAAAATTATTCGTAATTCAAGAAACACTTACGCGGAAATAATAAATCGTTTCTTTTTTTTTTTGTTTTCAGAGATTACACTAACATTGTAAAGGAATCGACGCGATAACCTTTTGAATATTATAAAAAGGTACGAAGCCCATGTCAATGTCACTGTTGAAGTAAACAGTGTACCTACGGACATACAATAGCCTTAATGGTAGGCAGTGGCTTGGCTCTACGCCTGGCATTGCTGACGTCCATGCTTGCGACGGTAACTGCTTACTATCAGGTGGACCGCATGTTCGTGTGCCTGTGAAGGCAATAAAAAAAAAATACGAATTGTCATTGTACGTACACAAAAAGATTGCAGATGAATTGAAATATACGAGTATCAACGATCTCGAATGTGACAATTCTTTGTCACATGATTTTATAGACAGTTTTGACATTGATAGACAGTCAATTTAATTTTTACCCCCGTAATATGAGCACTCAATAGACCTGACGGATACTGAACATTGCCGCACACGGATACTAATCGTAAACTATTCACCATAAGCCTATTTAAAGGAAGATTTATTGCTCCCAAAACTTTTAAAGAGGGCATTATAATATCTCCAGTTTGAAACGTGAGCTACACACTTGCTATCTGCGATACCTCGCGATGAAAAACAATACACAGGCCATACATATTTTAGCTTGTTTTTATTCATTTAACTTCTGTCCAACTACCTCCCTGTTTGTGGTGCGAAGTAATCCAGTGTTTCGATTTAGTGTATAATTAATTTAACGATAAATTAACTAATACATCTTTCAAAATTAGAAAAATAATAACCGATTTCCGTGAATTCTATAGGTACTTTTACAAACGGCTATTTTAGGTTAGGCATTTAGGTTAGGTCTTTTATACAAATACTATTTTTTCGATTATTTGAAGACAAAATATATTATAAACAAATAGTTGATTTAAATATAGAAAACAAAAGATAATACGTAACTGTCTTTACTGTTACACCAATTCAGTGTGCTTACCGTCGTCTAGTGGAAATTCCTATCATCGCCATGGACATCAGCAAGGTCAAGTATACAGATATTCACTGTTTCCAATCCAGGAAATTTTAAGCAATTAAAGATGGTAGAATGCATGTCAGTTTTTCTATGAATAAATCCTACCATCCTTTTTATATTTGCCGCGTAGCAATTATACTTCTCAGTTGAAAAACGAAACTCATGAAGTATCATTTTCCTATGACCTTTGTGTAATTAACAATTCATAATTAATATTATAAATGCGAAATGAACTCTGTCTGTCTGTCTGTCTATCGCGCTTTCACGCCAAAACTACTCAGCCGATTTAAATGAAATTTGGTACACAGATAGTCTATAGCCTAAAAAAGAATATAGGCTACTTTTTAATGCGAAAAAAGTATGGTGAAGGATTGAAAGGGGTGATGAAATGTTGTATGAAAGTATCGTCATTTTTAGAGCAAACTTCTAACTTATTTTATTTAGCAGCGGATTCGATTTAAATAAATATGACACCTAAGTTTACAAATCAGAATAACACATAGGCTATAATTTATAAAATATAGTGTGAATTACCAAAATTATAACGATAAGTGCCAAGTAAGAAGGAAAAAAATCTGCCATCTGTGAGCTATATTTGCGTGCGCCGCAAAAACGGTTGGAGTTACACGTAAGTAATGTAAAATGGAAATGTTTTTTTTTTTATTGCTTTGATGGGCGGACGAACTCACAGCCCACCTGGTGTTACATGGTTACTGGAGCCCATAGAGATCTACAACGTAAATGTGCCACCCACCTTGAGATATAAGTTCTAAGGTTTCAAGTACCTATGGTTACAACGGCTGCCCCACCCTTCAAACCGAAACTCACTACTACTTCACGCTAGAAATAGGCAGAGTGGTGGTACCTACCGGCGTGGATTCACAAGAGATCCAACCACCAGTTTATCTCAAATAGTCCTACAAAAAATCCCGTGACAGCATATATCTTTTATTTGCAGGCCATCATGTCTTACCTCGGCCCTTCTCTTCTCCCCTTCTTCCTCTCAGGAGGCGCCGGAGTCCGACATAACCCGGTCCGTTACCCCCTCGACCGGGTATCCGTAAATGGATTCCCCAGCGTTAAAAAAAAAAAAAGGCCATCATGTCTCATTATATTTCAAGGTGGGTGGCGCATTTACGTAGTAGATGTCTATGGGCTCCAGTAACCACTTAACACCAGATGGGCTAGTCCACTCATCTAGGCAATAAAAAAAAATCGCCAAAATAGTGAACCATTAATAAGAAGAGGAATGATTACATTTTTTATTTGTTACTTTCTATTCTGTTCTTTTTTTTATTGTATTTGTTACTGTCAGGACTATATTTGTATAAAAGACAATAATAAGATCAATAGTAAATTATGGTCCCAAAGCGTAGCGAATAGTGTTTGAATATTTTGTTTAAATATTTAAAACTCGTAGTGGAATGTAGCCTATTAAAAGCACGACAATTTTATTGAGAACAGAAATAAAATCAAGTTATAAATTATGAATCCGCTACAAAAAGAAGATCGACATGACTAAATAAAACATTTGAAAGGGTTTGAGAAACAGAATACCAAAACAGTTTACTATGTGAGATCAAAGGGTCTAAAATAAACATAAGGAGTATATCATACAAGCGAAAATTCAAAGCGGACCGATGCAGCGTTCTAGAAAATACTAATAAAAAACACGTGTGGCACTCGGGGACTGCCGCGGTAAAGCTATTGCATAGCATTTTTTACCAACTTATGCAATTATACAATAATAATTTA